AACCGTCCCAGCATGTATGAAATCGTAGACTGGATGAGCGATTGGCAAGTCTGACTCCATATGCTCATCAAGACTGCTAGCAGTACGCTGAGCTGAAGCGAAAGACTGATCATGTACAGCAGGAAGTCTGTATGGACACCATGTATCCTCATAGGTCGTTGGGCTCCATTGTCATAACGACAAACTCCTGTGTGAGAATGCTCGGCTGTTGCAACACATTCAGCAAGATGTGCCAAGCTCTCCACACGTCCAACGAAAGCATAGGACTGCAGGTGTCTGGATAGTCGAGGATGAAAGTAGTGCCAGCATGGTAACCAGACATACAGTCAGAGCCGGCGGTTGGTGCAAGCCTGTGCTTCCTAGGACTGCTGCCACGGAGCCCACATGCTGGATGTGCCTTGTTCTGTGGACACCTCCACCGGACCCTTCACGGTGCACCAGAATCTCAGCTTTCGGTGGTGAGGAGTTGAGAGGAGCGGCATTGTAGTGGGACGTTGGTTTCAGGTCAGACTTCAAGAGCACCGCCAGCTTCGACGGATTCTAGTATATCATAGCCTACTTTGGTACACTATACTGTAGTATATTACATTATATCATAATATATTTAAGTACATTCTAGGATGTTATATGTAGACTATCGTATAACACAAAACGATGCAAAAGGTTATAGCAAAGCTAAACCGTGGAGAACTAAGGACGACGGCTCGGCCTCAGGACCCGGGAGCAGGGGCGACGTCAGCCTTTGCATCACGGTGTCTCCGTTTGAGCTGCTCGCGGGGTTTAGTGTTCACGGTTTAGGGGTTTAGGGTAGTGGGGTTCAGGGTTTAGGGTGGAGAGCAAACTCTTCAGCAGCATTTGAGGGGCTTGGAATAGGGAGTAGACTGGGATGCTACTCCTACACCTGATGTTCTCGTCGTTCAGGTTCTACGGCTATGCGACAACAAAACCATTCAACAACGGAGCTCGGTCAAGTGCAAGAGTTCTGTCCACGAGGAAGTCTCGCGTACTCACGAGGCGGGAAGAGACGCTTGAGAGGTATGAATGCTCTCTTCGTGTCTTTGCAAGTTTATCAGAACGGGGGTCGCATGTAAACGATTCCGGTAGCAGTACGTGGTCATCCTCAGAAGAAGCCGCAAGAAGCAGCCGTAGCAGCAGCGCAGGCGTGGATGCAAGCCTATGTGGACCATGCAAGATCGCGTCCCCGCTTCATCCCTACAGCCGCTCGGTGGCCGCATGTCGCCTCAATCGTTATGGATTACCAAGCCTTCAATTGCGATGAGTAGATGTACGTATAGTTCGGCAAGTGTTAGCACCTCTCAGTGAGAAGATACCTCCGATGGTGTGACCATGAACAGACAGCCTGCTTCGCACTATAATGGATCTATACATCTACTTCTATATCTATATCTATATCTATATCTATATCTATATCTATATCTATATCTATATCTATATCTATATCTATATCTATATCTATATCTATATCTATATCTGTATGTATATATTATATATACACAATATATATATACACATACATACATACATACATACATACATACATACATATATATATATTACGGATGCTAGATTATACTTTAGTAACTTTAGCATGCCAAATATTCTCCTGTAACAGACTATATTGTCTACGATGGGGACCTCCCGGCAAAGCTGCGATCACTGAAGTATCCAGGTGACGGCCTCCGGCAGAACGAAGAGATCTCCGGAAGGTTGGAAGACAGCAAGAGTATACTATAGGAGCCTAAACAATTACCAATACTATTTTGGGTGTTCCTTATTGTCATTATGGTACAGTATACCCCAAAACCTTCTTTTCATTATAAATCCCTATATCAGAGCAGAAGGGACCGAGTGGATGATGGGGATTTAGGATTCCTAGTGTTGAGTCCCATTCGGCTTCCTCTTCTTTCAGCCAGATGTTGCCAAAGAGGCATCTAACCTGAGCCCACAGCCATCCACAACCTAACACCGACACCGAGCACCCTAAACCCCAAACTCCAAAGTCCAAACTGCAGCTAGAAACACCCGAACCCCGAAACCATTTTTTTTAAACCCCCCAAACCCAAAGCCCGAAGTCCCAAAACCCCAAACTCCTAAACCATAAATCCTAAACCCAAAATCCCCAAAATCAAAAAAAAACACGCACAACAACTTTCCTAAGCCCCCTACAGCCGCGTGAGAGGTGCCGGCGCCCACGTTGGGCGGATGACCCTGAACCCTGGGGCCGCTGGGCCAGGGTTTAGGAGGTTTAGGGGTTAGGGATTTAGGGTTTAGGGCTTTAGGGTTTAGGGTTTTAGGGTTTAGGGTTTGGGTTTTAGGGTTCAGGGTTTTATTTAGGGTTAAGGGTAGCGGTGCTTTGTGTACTACAGTTTGTGGTAGAATAACGTATCATTTCTACAGTATGATGCAACACTACAGTTCGCTACAAATGTCTGAAGAAAAGAATAACATTTGACACGACCAGTGGAAGGCTACAACTGAAGATTGCTTTGGGAGGCCAGAAGGTGGGAGTAGAAGGATTTTGCCAGGGGCTCTCAGTAAGCATAGGCAGCAATTGTTTTCGAACGTCCATTGGTCGCTAGACTAGACCAGGATACGGCTCTTCACGAGCAGCTCCATTTTCGCAGCCTTTCATGGCCCGCCATAGATAAGACTGAGCGTCTGTGGTTCTATTCGGTGGTAACGCTATCCTTCAAATTGTGAAGAGGTTCGGCTCTTTGTCTCGAGGTTTCCCAATTCCGTGCTCGTGGAGTTGACCAAAAAATGCCTGCACAACTATTGCATATGTCGACGTCCTGCTTTTAAATTCCCAGAATCACGGACACCCTAAGCCCAACATCCAAAGCCCTCAAACCCTAACCGCGATACCAAAGTTCACCGTGAGGTCACGGCTTTCTGCCTCGCTGCAGCACGGCCCTTCGAGAATGCTAGAGATGCGAACATCAAGGCGAGGGTTTAGGGTTTGGGGCCTTAGGATGTCGACTGTCGAGCTCGAGGTTTTGGGATGCGGAAGCTAGACTAGACTTGCCCGAGGGATCCGGAAGTAATCAGCGTGAACATCTTTAGCCCATGATCTTTCGAAGGAAGTGGGTGGGCTTCGTACTTCAGCTTCCTTCCAATAATTCTGACGCCGACATGCGGAATCCTGACTTCAATGGCCTCGAGAATCCAAAATCCAGTCCCTGCCCTGCAGACCTATCAGTGCGGCGTGCTGACGTTCTGCATCCACCAGGCAGCGCTTGACAGCCAAAGCGGTGATTGATTGCATGAGTTAACGGACATTGTTAGGCTACCGGCATCGTTGGCATACAGCTACCCGCCGCAAAATCTTCCGACCTACTTTGCTTATTCAGGGCTGGCTTTGTTGCACCTCCCACAATCCAAGCCCCCGGACCACAGCCAGGCTTTGCAGGACCTGCAGTACCGATGTACCTTCGAGCAGCTTCTGGAGTGCCTCGGATAATCAGTGGTTGGATAGTGCAGAATTCCAGCAGGAAGGCGGTTCGAACTTGGGATTTGGATATTGCTAACATTGAGTCCCACGGAAAAGTCCTTAAACGAACAGCAAGGCTGAAACACTTGACTTTCTCTAGGTCTAAGTGCCGTTTGGAACATTACATCTTCCTGTATTCCACACTGAGTCCTGGAAGTAGTAATGCTTCAGACACACAGCACGGTCTCATCGCATTGCAAGCGCCTCGAGCTCTTTGAAAGAAGGTTTCCAAGCTCACTTACCCCAAACCCTAAACCTTAAACCCTGAACCCTGAAAACTAAACCCAACCCTAAACTGGGGCAGCTTTGTAAGGAGAGCTGCTTGGAAAATGGAAGACATCCGGAACAAATACATGCGGATGATGGATGCTGGGCGCATTGAGACAGACATGTATGTGTTCCAGCGGCGACTTGATTATAGTGGTCTGTACTTGCTCTGCTGCTTTTTCAACACTGCATCAAGCTACCTCGCCAAGGTGCAGTATTGGTCCTTGGTGTGTGTCTGCAGAGCCATCACACTCTGTTGCTCCTCCCCTCCTGATTTGGTTTCCGTACAGAATCTGACCAGGATCAGACCATCCAGATGAGCTTCTGCCCCAACAGCGCCCCATCTGCTGTCGTCGTATTTGATGCTCGAACCTCGTCTTATGTTCAGCAAAACAGGAAATTTGGGATTCCGTCCATGCGGCCTTGAAATGGTTGTCGAGACAGGTAGCACATTAGCTTTCCGAGATGTTTACCGTTCTTACGGTAACATGTCATAACTTATAGTATAGACTTCAATACAATATAATAATATAGCACAATCTATTTTCGTCTAGTCTAGTATAGGATCATATAGTATAACATAATAGTATATACTACAGTATAATATATTGTAACACGATCTCAGCGTTCACTAAGGCTACGCTCCCGTGGCACAGCATCGAATTTCGCAGCTGGCGCAGCAGCAGAACATGTCGCCGCCTGCCGGGGGGCTCGGAGCATTTGTCCCTGAACCCTTCTAGATTCCTTCAAAGGAACCCTATAGAACCCTGCAGCACCCTTAAGAAAGATCCCTCTAAAGGAACCCTAAACCCTAAACCCTAGACCACAGAGCCCCTGCCTAGAAGGGCAAGCTGCTTCAATGCTTAAGAAAGATACTGCATTGTATGTGTACTTTTTTTCTATACTACATCACTTGCAGCTATGCAAACGGCACGCAAACAAGAAAACACAGGCCCGTACGAGTCGCAATCTCCCCAAATCCATTGCAATAGCCGCAGAGACGTTACAGGGGGCATGGGCGTCAGTGATTAAAGCAGGGTTTTTGGAGATATCATAGTACAAGAACATGTAAGAATATACTGGCCGCACGTCGATAGTATTGCTGCCTATAGGCTTCCTACCAAACGTCAGGTCCGTCTAAACCCACTGGAGCCTCCGTGCCTCGTAAGCCTCCACAGACCTTGACCTTAAGTCCTAAGCCGCTCCTAGTATTGTTGACCCCGCCTTATCCAATCCCAGACTGTCATCGTGCGCACGACCCTTAAAGTCTCAGTCAATTCATGCCCCAAACCATAAATCTCGACACTAGAAGCCCCAAAACAATGAACTCCCGAAGCATTATAAGCACTAAGCCGACCGAAGTCTCAAACCCTAACCCCTAAACCCTCAAGCATCCCGACCCTTGGCACTTTAGCCCAACCCTCGCGGCAGGAAAACCTTCGCAGCCCTGGGGCGCCCTCCCCAGAGCCCGTGCTTTGGTGGCAAGTTATTAGTATTGTTATTATCGTCATCATCATCATCATCATCAGTATGCTTATTATTTTCATTTTGATTTATTCTTATTGTTGTTATTGTAATTGTTGTTATTGTTGTTATTATGATGATTATTCGTGTTGTTATTAGTCTTAATTATTTTTGTCATTATGTGTATTATCTTTGTTGTTATGTTTCTTGTTGTTATGAGTATAACCATAGTATAATATACCCGCCAAACCTACGGTGCGGTGAGGAAGGGTTCTGCGGGGTATCACAAGGGGTATTACAACGCATATTCTGAGATCGCAATCTGGTTTCGTTCCGGTTGTGACATCGGTCGCTTTGCAGAAGTGCCCGAACAAGAGTGGGAATGTTGACCCTCCCTCCGTGATAGTAGTCACTGTACTGTAGCGAAAAAGCTTGAGCAACAAAAACGCCGTGGTAGTTGTGAGAAGAATCAAGAAAAGTGGAAATTTACCACAACAATAGCAGCGACCATGATTCAATGTCAGCGGTCTTACTAACTGACTCCGTGTAGCCGGTTGAGACTACAGCATTTGTATCAGCATGCCAGTAGTTATCAGTAGTTGCGATGTTAAACGCAGCATCGTCGCCATCATCATCGTCATCATCATCATCATCACCATCATCTCCATCGTGTTCATCATCACCGTCACCATTGCCACCGCAATCGTTTCCACCACCGTCACCACCGTCACCACCACCACCACCACCACCGCCGCCAACACCGTCAATTCCTAGATCAAACAGTAGCAGATTTTGGAAGAACTAGAAGCAGGACATTGTATGTATGTATGTATGTATGCATGCATGCATGTATGTATGTATCTCTATCTACCTATCGACATCTTCCACTCTGGCCGGTGGTGAGTTATACTTTTTGCATATGTGGTTGCTGAACTTCATGTCCCGCTCTCGCCGCAGGTACGACAAGCCAGCACTGAGTTTGTTCCGTCTCCAGGGTGACCTGGCCGGCTGCCAGAGTAGGTATGCCCCGGGCTGGTCTTTCGCTCGTTTTGCAGAGCCCAGGTTCTTTGCCATGGACTAGTCTTTCACATTTTTACAAGAATCTCGCTAATAGCTTCGAGGTTGGATGGGCCATGTCTACTGCCATTGCCTGCTACTCAAAGCCTAACTTCCACAGGCAACAGGCTCCCCCTGTGCACAGACTCGAGTGTTCTCTTCTTTGGCCATTGGCTGATGATTGAGATCTTGAGATAGACTGCTGCTATGCTGCCATGTGCTTGTAAATTGTTTCCGGGAACTCAGGTACCGTGAACAACCAGATACCAATGCCGTGGGTGGCGAAGTGGTCGGGGTGGGCATTGTGCAGCCTGGCTCGATCAGATCTGTCGGATTCGGTCTTGTCTTGCTATACACATCAACAGAAGAAACCGCCAAATTGTTGAAGTCTCGTGCAAGCTCTGAAACTTTTTTGACTTGGACGAGAGTTTGCAAGTATGTTACGAGTGTTCGTAGGCACTTTGCAAGCCAAACCGATGCTGCACCGCGGCGCATGTCGTGGATGCAACCAGCCTGTAAGAGCACACAAAACCCTAAACTGTAAGCCATAAAACCCTCTCTTCGGCTCAAAGCTAAACTCCTAAACGATAAAACTCTAAATTCTACAACCCCTAAGACCCCAGACCCCCCCTCAAAAAAGCAAGATCTCTCAGACCCGAAGGTATGTGCAGCTCTTCTCCTGCAGTGACTTGAAGCTTGGCTGGGGAATTCTGGAAGGTAAGCGAAAAAACCGGGGCCGGAACAAAGCCTTTTATAGTTTTAGTGTACGTATCGTGGTCCTCAGATTAATATAGTGTACTATACCCCCATAGGGGGGGGGCGAACGAATTTATACTAGTAACCCCTATTCCTTACCATATACTGCCTTGAGGTCGGCATGGCTGGCAAGAGTATCCCATCCCTTTCCGTGTACATTATGTGGGACCCTAGATTTGCTGGACAGGCCCTAAAACACTAAGCCCTAAACCTCCAAAAAGGTCTCCAAAAGAGACAAACCCTTCTCGGTCGTAGCTTGAAAGCACATCCTTTCGAAGTCCTTGGCTGTGAGGGCATTCGAGCCCACGGGCCTAGGCTAACCGCTTAAGAAGGGCTTAGGGTTTAGGGTTTAGGGTTCATCTCCTCACATGTCACGGACCATTGCTTTTCGCCTGAAAATCATGGCAGCGGTATCGCAGCCTTCGTTCTGCAAGCTGTTCAACCAGGAGACCTCAGGGGATGTACGGCCAGTGCGACCCCTACGTCAAGATGACCTGTGGCGGGGTGACGCACCAGTCCACAGTCAAGCGAAACAGCGACTTGAATCGTGTTAATTGAGAAGCTTGTTTCGAGTTTGGGCCATGGGCCATTGGGGTTAGGCCGCAGCACACAGCTGGTGATGCTCGATTTCCTTGCTATACAAATCCCAAGCCCACTCCTCTCTTTCTCTCAGGCACGCACCCGACCTGGGGCGATGAGGAGAACAAGTTCACATTCAAGGCATCCGTGCCTCGCCCCAAGTATTACGGTTTACAGGGTTTCGAGTTTGTGTTTAATGTCAGCTCTTGATTTAGAAACGCCCCCCCCCCTTAATTAAAGGCATTCCCGCGGGCCTCGGACCTGGCTGAAAGCCCACCCCCCCGCCCCCCCTGGAACCCCCCCGCCCCCCGCCCCCGCCATTTAATGGCAACCTTCTGCCCCAAGCATCTCCAGAAGAGGTTCAGGGTTCAGGGTGTTGCGTTTAGAGGTTTGGGGGTTGGGGGCAGGTTGGGGTCCAGGGTTTAGGGTTCAGGGTTCAGGGGGAGGTTCCACATTAAGCAAGCCTAAACATGAAACAGGGCTGGAGTGAAGAAGTTCCCGAGGTGGCCACGCAAGACATTTTGAATCAAAGGCCTATGTAAAACACTCAGTTTTTCAAGCATGCAAAGGCTTAGACTCAGACCAGGCAAGGCAACCCCCTTGATTTATAATCCGGCCGCCGCAGAACAATAGTGTTTTGTTATTGCTTTTGTTTGACTGTTGCGGGTTTAGGGTCGAGGGTTTAGGGTGAGGGTTTCGGCACTAAGCCCCAACCTTAAACGATTTAAGGTTCCGCCCTAAAGCATAAAGCACCTAAGCCCAGCAGCTTAAAGTTTAAATCGAAGCCTTAAAACCGTAACCCGGAACCTCCAGTGTCTGGCGATTTCACGAACAAAAGTTACGAGTTCAGTCGTCGACTGTGCCTGTCCTACATGCTTTACAAGACCCTAGAAGGAGTGTTGGGTGGCAAGCCCGAAACCTGCCAAATTTATTTGGGTGGGGAGGGTTGGATCAGGCCGCCAACGGATCTACCTTGCCGAGCCAAGAACTCCCTCCCACGGTAATAGGAGCCTTAACAATTACCTATACTATTTTGGCGGGGTTCCATACCCCAAAACCCTAGTCTAATCATTAAGGCCCCTTTTTTGCATGCACAAATGAAATGCCACCTGTCTGGAAGCGCTTACGCTAAGACAGTAGTACACATGCATAGCAATCAACTCGCACGAGAGTAAGTATTTGAACACTGTGTTCGTGGCTCTGAAGCATGAAATACGAGCTTGCCGAGAGTTCTCCAAAGGATTGCCAAGTGGAGATGCTGTTCATCGAGGCAATGGGCAACGGGGAATGGGATCCGCGGTGTTCTTTGCAAATCGGGGATATACCTCAGGCGCGCCGTAGGTGTTTCTAATCTCATATTCATGAAGTCAGAAAAACCCACGGGAGCTGGGAGAGTCGAAGATCCCATCACACCTCCCGACTTCCTAGAGCTGTTCAAGCTCTGCCGGTGACAGAGTAGAGCCTGAAGGAGATGAACCTGATTGCAAAGCGAGTGTGCGCGCGGCCATGGCACTGTAGCTTCGTTTTTTGTTTGGTTCTGCTGTTTCAGGAATTCCGCCCAGTCCAAGGATTCATACTCGTGTAGAAATCAGGCCGCCAGCCCCGACTACTATGTTCGGTGACGCCCGTGGGGTAAGAGAATTAAGAGACCCTAAACCCTGAGATTGAGAGTAAGAGGTGCGGAACGCCGGACGGGATGAGCTGATCGGCCGGGTTGATGCTGCCCACCTGCAAGTGACGGAAGCATCCGGCTTAGTGCTTCGGGTTAAGAGCTGATGGAGGTTCGATAGACCTAGTGACTGAAAGACTGCTTTGAATTCAAGGCATGTCAGAGCGCATAGAAGATACATGCTCGAGGTTTAGGTTTCCATGATTGGTAGCTTCCAGAGACTGGGCTTTCAATGGTAGCGAGCAGCTTGATGAGTCTGTTTCCCGATTTGCCTCTCTTCCTAGGTAGTGTTAGGGAGACGCCTTGAAAGGGACCCTTGCTAAGCCCACTTCTGGCTCTCTTAATAGGGACCTCCCTAAGCCTAGCTCTTATCTCTGGAGTCTGATTGGAGGGGCTGTCGGTTCTAACTGCAGGTTCCCCTCAGGAGCTTGCCGTCCATGACATGGGAAGAGCGCCGGCAGTTCTTGCAGAATGCGCCTTCCTCTGCAGAAGTTGGATTCCCCGGCCGGATGTGGAATTGGATTTCGGAAGATATCAGCTGGATGTAGCACTTCTTTTAGGTGCGCGATCTCTCAGTCGTATTCAGTCATTTGAGCGGCTTCCCGGCCTCAGGCCGAACCTCAAACACTAAAACCTAACCGCCGTAACCCTAAACCCACAACCCCTTTACAGTCCGGAGCCCTAACCCTCAACCGCCTCTACCCCCTTCAAAGTGTGCTGCTATAGAAGCCGTCTAAGAAGTTTGAAACACCCTATAGAACCCTTCTTAATTACAACCTTAAAGCATGATCTGGAACCCTTCTGGCGAACCTCTTAATCCTTTCTGCTCCTGCAGGGAGGTGAGGTGGAGTTCCGGGTGGCCTTGTACCCCGAGCGCGCGGCTGCGAACCTGCGTCCTCAACCTGGCTTGGGGATGGGCCTGGGCGGCCCCATGGGCCCCATGGTGCTTCGCCAGAGAAGAACTGAGGCTTTCGGGATAAGGAAGCCCTAGGACCCTAGGACCTTCAGGGGGCGTCCTGACCTGAGGGGTCCCTACCAATTATGTAGGCTGCCTCGCCATGTTTCGTCGTCATTGGAGGATCAGGAACGCTTAGTGTTACAGTATTGAGACTCAAGAGGAGTACTTTGGCCTCAGACCGTGTCGAAAGAGCTTCATCCAGTCATTAAGACGCCTGTTTAGAGTAGGATCAAAGGCTCAAGCTGCACCATAACGAAACCCCCAAAAGTTCTAGCTTCTCTGGCATCTGAGCGTCCACAAGCACTGGGAGGGCTCGAGTTCCCAAGGCAATAGGATCCTCGAAAATCCGTTCTCTGAAGCCCACACACAACCCCCTAAAATCCATAAAGCCCATAAACCCTCAAACCCCAGACCACCTCACCCCTACCCTAACACCCCCGAACCGGGAAGCCCCTTACCCTAAACCCTAAACCCCCTAAATTTGAGGAGCAGCAGCCTCCGCCTGCCGGCACGGGCTACCCCGAAAAGCCCCGGCCACCTTCGCCTCCGGCCCGTGACCTTGGGCCCAGCCTGAGACTTTGCTAAAGATGGATTTGGGTTTAATTCTTACTATGATGATTACGATCATTATCTAGAGGGTTTATGATTATGATTTGAGTTCTCTACTTGCGTATGGGGGCCTATGACTTTGGTGAGCACGTGCTCTGAATCATCTCTTCGGGCTACGATTAGTATGACTATCATTGGCTGCAAAAGACTAATTACAACGCCTATGATTGTTGTATTTGTGGTTATGAGTCTTGAGGCTTCAAGGTTTTAGGCTGGCTTAAGGTTGGCGAGTGCTGTGAGAGGTTGCAGGGTGACTTGGACTCAGCTTCTGTCCATGATCCAGGAAAACTTGGAAGCCAATTGAGTGCATCAATCGGCCAGTCCGAACTGATGTGGCCACGTTGCCCAATGAGGTTTGCCGTAGGATCCCCCCGACTCCTGATTTTGCAGACCCTTACCGTAGGTTGACAGAAGCATGGCGGAACATACAGCGGCTGGCGGAAGCCAAGTATTCTGATTCACATTGGCGCCGCTTGCAAGGAAGGTTGTGCTCCGATAATGCGGAGTTGAGTTCTGAGTGTTACATATATCTATATATCTATATATAGATATATGTGTATATATATACACATATATATATACTTATTCTTTTATTTATTTGTTTACATGTATGTATGTATGTATGTATGTATGTATGTATGTATGTATCTTGCTTGAACCCGAGCCATTGAGCTTGGTGGAGTTGCAACCAGCTTGGCGCAGTCTGCGAAACCGGATCTTGGAATCCAGAATGCCTCCTGTCTCCGACCCATACTTGTGTTAGATAACATCGAACTTAGGCTGCTAGTAGGCAGACTAATTGCACGGTTGCAGCCCACCATCAGAAAAGCGGCGCAGGCAGACGCATCTTCCAAGCTCAGATGGTGAAACAACGAGGATGGTTAATGTAGAAGGCTGAATACTTACCAGTACTATTCCTTAGGGTTGCTCATTATACTTACACTGTAGTCTACCCCAACCCTACTCTAATTCGCAATCGGCAAATATTCGAATTTCTGTCAGACTGAGACCTCAGAACCTCAAGCATGGAGCTCTTTGCAATCACCCTCAGGCCCTGAACCCCATGTGGGAAATCCGACACCTTAAACAAGCCTTAAACCCTAAAGCCCGGAAGCCCCAAAGCCCTAAACCTATTCCCTCTTCCCAACAACAAACAGATAAGGATGGGAGAGTATGACTTGCGAGCTCCTATGGAGCGCAGACCCATGGACGAGGAGCTGCAAGCGACTCTCTCGTCTCCTGCTGTCCGAACTGACACTCCCTGCATGCTGCCAGCCGTTGCCCCAGTGCAATCTAAAGTCTGCTCAGATCTCGCCTAGTTAGACTGACATCACGTTTGGTGAGTGCTGGACCACGTTGCCTCATCTGCACGTGTTTGCGTTAACTGCGAAGTTCTGCTCAGATCACAGCAACAGCTAGCCCTTTTCCCCAGTGAATTGGCATCAGTATTGCGCGTCGCGGTCTGGTGCTTGCTCTGGGCTTGGCACGCGTTGGCCTCGCTGCTCTTGGTCCCGGCAGCTGCGCTTTCCTGAGCTTCAACGGACAGGGCACAGCCAGCTTCCAGCTGCAGCTTGTGCTGTTCGAGCCGATGGAGCCCGGCGAGACCATCGACATCACCTTTCAGCCTTTCAGACTGTCGATGGCTTGATGGCTCCGGAAACTGGGTCGGAACAAGCGCTGGAGATTTGACATACACACCCTTGGCGCAGTACAGTTTCAGATCACTGGCTATGCTTTCCACTGGTAGGCCAATGACGGACAACTCTCAAAACTCCGGTGACACATTGATTGTGCGGAGCGGAGTTGTTGGAGGAGCAGCCGTAGCAGCCAGCAGTAGCAATGACAGTCGCGTACATCCGCAGAGTGGGGCCCCCCAAGAGGGACTGTTGCCGCGCATGGAGGCGGTCAATTATCCCGCCTTCCTCTGCGCTGGAGTTCGCGTTGAGGCTGCCAAAAACCTCAGCCCGGACGCAGACCTCTGTGAATCTCTCAAACGCCATGGAAAACACCTGCTGTGATTTCGGGTTGGGCGCGCTGGTCTCTGCAACAGTCGTCAGCTCATCCCTTTGTTTCAACAACGCAAGGCGGACCTTGTCATATTGTAGCCGTCATGTTTCTTCATGTTACAAGGTATTGCCCACATTCGGCACAGAGCATGCAGAGCAAACTCGTATTGCTTGATCAATAGACTAAGTTTCGTTCTTTCTATGACTCGTTCGTTCAATCGTTCACTCATTCATTCATCCATTTGTTCGTGCGTTCGTTCATTCATTAATTTTCTCATTCAGCCGTTCGGTTCATTCAACCTGTCGTTCAGATGATCATCCACTCACCCGGGCCCCGTGGAAAAATCGTAACCCTAGGCCCTGTAGATCCCTTTGAAGGAGCCCTAAACCCTAAACTAACCTTAAAGCCCAAACCTCTTGCTCCGGATGAAGGAGCCACTTCTGGAGAACATCTTTGGCAAGCCTAACCTCTTTGCGGCTATGCCGGACCGGAACAGGGGATTCGGGGTTTAGGGTTCGAGGGGTTTAGTGTTTTGGGATGTAGGGCTTTAGGCGTTTAGGACTTTACGATTCAAGGCTTTCGAGGTTTAGGATTTTTAGGGTTTTCGGTTTAGGGCTCTGCGGGTTTAGGATTTTGGGTTTTAGGATATTCGGGTTTTAGGGTTTTGGTGTGGGGTGTTGGTCTTAGGGCTGCAGGGCTTAGGGTTTTAGGCAGTTTTAGGGTTTAGCGTTTTTGGGGGTTCAGGGTTTGAGGGCTTGTAGGGCTTAGAGCTTTCGGCTTTAGGGCTTTAATGTTTAGGGTTTAAGGGCTTGTAGGGTTCGAAGGCTTGTCGGGTTCAGGGTTCAGAGTTTTAGGGGTTTTCTGGTTTAAGATTTTGGGGTTGGTGGGGCCACGAAGCATCTTGGCACTTTCAGCGATGTTCGAAGCTGTCTTTCCAGGAGACGTGCTGCATCCATGCTGCCGCCACATGCCACAGCGTTGAAGATTTCGGAACTCAGGTCCAGCCCTTTAATTGCTAAACCCGGGAAGCTGCATGCATCCGAAGCCCTCGAAGCCTCCGACTCTGAGCTCCGTCTCGACATCGCAGAGACCCCCGAAGAAAATCCCAAAGCAAGGACCTGATGTCGCAGCTCTCGACAAATGCCGGGGGCCCAGAGGAGTTGGAACCTTGATGTCGGGGGCAGTTCTGTCGGAACTGAGTGCAGGTGTCCTGCGAAGCGCGTCGGTTCTCATGGCTCGAAACTATGTTGCGGTTTCATTATTTCTACTTTTCTGGATGGCTGGGCGATTATAAGTTGCAATTGGCAGATTGGGTGCAGTGGCAGCAGCACGTATGATCAAAGCGCAGCAAGCTTAGTGATGACGACACGGTGAAGCTGACAACTTTTCGACTGTCATTATCATTCATAAAAAGCCCATACATGGGTGTGTTTTCAATCTTTGAGGACGGGTGGACAACAAAAGGGAAGCACCTGAAGAAGCGCACAGTTTTCCATGTCAAATGCGTATACTTTTCGCAGTGAACTTGTAACTTGCATGACTCGATGCAGTAAACTACTTACTTCGGGATTGGGTCTTTCAACTTTCGGGATGAATGCAACACTTACTTTGTATGGGATTGTTGTGGCGTAGCTCCCTGCCGTGTCTTCAGGCACCGACTGGCTTCCACGATGCTGGGCGTTTTTAAGCAAAGCTTTCTTCGTATCGTCGTATCACTGATTCTAAGACACGGCATGGAGGCAGTGCCCGAACACGAATTGCAGTTGTCTCAACTTACCTGCCCAGGCGATGAGATGCAGTTGAAAGTTTCCTGAAGTTAGCTAACGGAGAAGTGAAGAAGCAAGAGGCTTTGAGATCTGCCAGCTGTGCTTCAAAACTTGGCAGTTCTGAATCACATGGGTAGTTCTCTGTAGGGTCCCTTGTAGGGCCCTTTCTAGAATCTAGAAGGGTGCCGTACTATTTTACCGACATGTTCAAGCGCGCTGTATCTTCAGACAACAACCCCCCTGTTTGAAAGGAAGTGCTGCCTGCCATCCCGCAAGTGGGGGGCCTTTCGACGCCGGCTCTGGGAGGACTCGGCACACCAGTCTCCGGCCTTCCCGCCCCAGCGTCGGCTATGCCGGCCCCGGCTGCACCTGCGACGAGCAGGCAACAGGGCTTCAAGTACTACGGGTCATTGTTCAGGGGTTCCAGAAGGGTGGCTACATAAGGCTGTATATATAGGATTTCAGGATTTTTCAGGGTTCGAGGGACGGAAAGTCTTGCAACTCGCTTTTGTTGTTTTCCTGGCGTGGTGAAATAGGGTTAACCAGTTCAAACAGTTTTTGAGTGTTTAGATTAGGTGGCCCTTTCGGGTGGGAAGAGGGATCACAGAACTAAGCGCATCAGCGACGTGGAAGCAGGTATGAAGGGGATGCCTTGAACCATGAACCGCAACCAGCCGATGTTGAAAGAACTCGTCATGTTCAGGTCTCGAGGCATTGAGCTTGATCGGGCCCGGCGATTGTCAGGAGCGTAGAGCGTGGGCTCTTCGGTTCAGTGTTTTGATGACCATACAGCGGTGCATGATGGTGGTGTCGCAGTTGCTGTTGCTGTTGCTGGTGGTGACATGGCAGTTCTTCTTCTTCTGCTTCTTCTTAATTTCGGTATGTTGTTGATGTTCCTAGTAGTTTCTATGTTTCGGAGTATGACTATCCGTGCAACGTATAGCATCATGTGTTGTTCCCATTGCACAAGACAGCCGCTCTGGTGATTCCGCAGGTTGGGCGTGGCATCCTACACACCGCCTCCGGCCGCCTGCTTCACTCCGCCCTCCCTGTTGCCCACGGCGGAAGTGGGCAGAGCCTTCGGCAGGTCCTGTTCATGATTTGCAGGCAAAAGGTTCTACATCAGCTACTGTAATAGGTACCAGGTACCCTAAACCCTAAACCCGGTTCTCGCTAAGGGCTACTTTACAGGGTGCCTATAATGCCAGTGCTGCTGCAGAAGATACAACAGCGCCGTCCTGGTCATGAGAACGCTTTCAGAACAATTTCCCGCAAGGATTTCGAGATCTGCTGTACTGCCGTCAAGTTTGGAAGAAGTCTGCACGAAATGCAGCAAGCATGACTGACTGTGTGAAAAACTGACTGATTAACTGAAAAGCATGCAAAATACCGACACAAGCATGCACTCCAGCGAGCAAGCCGGCAGAGAGGGCTTGGTTTGGCTCCTCAGGAACTGCATCTCGAGGCCTGTCCCTCGAGGGCATCTGGGCAGAAAATGGCAAAAAAGCTTTCAGATAGGTTGTACGGCTTAAGCTCAGTCCAATCGCGGCTGTAAGCCTGCAACCTGGCCTGCGACCGTAAGCGGCTGCGTGGAATGCGAAGCAATGGCGCTTTGTTGCATGACGCTTTCAGACTTCGAGACCTCTCTGATTCGATCATGGATCCGAGGCTACTACTCTACTGGTGGGATGGCGGCCGCGAAGATGAACACTGCATCCACAGCTGTGCCAACGCCCCAGGCTGGCACCTCCGACAGGTTCGTGTCAGTACCGGTGGTGAATCAATTCTACCAGCGAGCGGACGATGTGACAGTAGCTTTGCCGAGCGGAACCACACGATGCCCAAGAATACTTCGGTGTCGACTCTGGATGAAAGATGCATTCAAGATTTGATGCGGGAGAATTTACGGTTCACTCCGATGTTCAACAGCAAGCAGACATCTTGGAACTCTTCGGGAATCCCATGCCTGGCGAGTATGCTACACATGTGGTGCATGCGGATGAACCATCACGTGATGATGATGGCCAGCAAAAGCGGACTTTGAAAAAGGGAAATTTTTGATTATGCCTGATTACAAAACGAAGTAGGATGGCCATGGTGATGTTGAACACCCCCAAGAAAGAAATACCAGCATGTGCGCACCAACCGTTGTCGGAGCCCACGAAACCCGTCGTTGGCCAACAGCAATATGTATAATAGTTTTCATATATGCGAGTATCATCTTGTACCAGATCGTAGATACTAATATTATGAGTATACGTATACTGCAATATCACAGTCATCTGCAGGCACAAGCAGATGCTGCGCATTCATAGGACAGCTTGAGCCCCTGCGCTAACGAGCTTCCAGTGAAAGTCTTAGAATTCCAATGTTAAGTCAAACTCTACGAGCCCCTATAGCCCCTCAGGCTCGAAACTCCCACGCGTTGTCTATACCGGGACTATACCGTGCTCTGCTGAGAGGTGCCTGGGAGCTACACGTACAGCACGCCTTCTCCCTTCACCTACAGCTGCTCAGCTTTGTGCTATGTTTCGTCAGGGTGGCCTTGCAAATGCGGGGCTATTGCAACAAAGGCTCTCCGCGAGCTATCCGTCAATTCTACTTCCTGCACTTCCATATTCCAGCTCCGACCCCCAATAGAGCAGCTTGAACAACTATTCCTTAAGGTTCGCGAATATATACACTACCCCGATACCCCCCAGAAAGCCAAAACCAAGAACCTATTCTAATGGTCAAAGCCCCTATATTGTCTCTGTAGCTCTCGATTTCATAGCCGAAGTGAGAGGAGTCTTTCGTCTCAGGTCAGGCTCAGCCCGGTCAGAGTGCCTTGGGCTCCAATCTCAATGCCGCTTCCTACCCCTACAGCTCCAGCGGGACGCCTTTCACTGGTTACAGCCAGCAGATCGTTTCAGGCTTCCCGGCGGGGTTTAGGTTATTCAGGTTTCGGGGCTTGAGGCCCTGATTGGGGCCACGTCACAAGAGTGCGGAAGGCATGCGGTCAGAGTCAGAGCAGCCCTAATTAGGGCTGCGCTTGTCATGAGCGGGTGCAGGTGATCTCGGCTGCGCAGTTGTTCCTTGCCAGCCCTAGGCCAGACATCACAGAGTGCTTTGGGCACTGACCTGGCATCGTACACCTACACTGCACCGAGCTACACCACCTCTGCAGCTCCCGCATCGTTGACTAGCTACACCCCGCAGGGCCAAATTATTGGCACCTCGGCAGCTGAACGGACCAAGTTTGTTTCAACTGACTGACTGTGAGCACTTGAGTTCTCCATTCCCCAGCTTGTAGCCATGGAAGGCACGACGGCGCAGAAGGCATTGAACGCGGATCTCAGTGCGGGTGCCTATGCCTACACCTCCGCTCCCACGGCCTTGTTCACTGGTTACAGCCAGCCAGGACAAAGCACAGGTGCATCTCCGGAAAGAGAAATGAGCGCTGGTGGGTGCTCTCAAAGTTACGCTGACAACAGCCGTAGTTGCAATATTGCCTGTTCTGGTTGACTGATGTAACATGCAGGTTCCGTAAGTGCCGTTCATTGGAGTAGGGATGCCTGTGGTGGGTGCCGATCCCATTTGTTTGAAGGGGGTCAACTAAATTAAGAACCCCAAGAGGACAAAACACTGCCAATATCAAGTCTACCAGCAGCAGGCAGTATCTGTGGGTTTGGGCTCTCCTCCGGAGTGTAGTCGCAGTAGCAGAAGAAGCAGCAGCAGGAGCAGTAGTCGTCGTTGTTGTCGTCGTGGTAGTAGTAGTAGTAGTAGTAGTAGTAGTAGTAATAGTAGTCGTAGTAGTTGTATTAGTTGTAGTAGTTGTAGTAGTTGTAGTAGTTGTAGTTGTAGTTGTAGTTGTAGTTGTAGTTGTAGTTGTAGTTGTTCTTGTTCTTGCTCTTCTTCTTCTTCTTCTTGTTGTTGTTCCCCTTTATCACGCTCACACCCGGCTGCGCCAGACCCGCCTCCTCCCCCTCCTCCTCTACCTTCCCCGAGCTCGGCTCCAAAAACAGAGCTTTTGCCTCCCAAACCCAAAGGGTCTGGTTTCTCCCCTCCGCCAGTGCCAGGGCACAATTAAAACCCCCGCAAAGGCACCTTCCCATTGTCAGGCCGAGCCAGTATCGGACCCTGCCCCGAGGCTTCCCTCTCACCCCCGCCTAATGCCAGCTCCGGAAGTCCGCCAAGGCTGTACAGGCCAAGAGCAGCACACCTTCCGCTGCCAAAGGCTCCTCCACACAGTTCGAGCCTCCCAAGTCCAATTCTGCCCAGGTACCATACATCACTCAGGACACTCCAGATGACAATGCTTTGCCCACTCGGGACGATGTCATTCATCAGCTCCAGACTCCAGCATTGCAGGATTGGATAAAGGCGTTGGCTGGATTCAATGTCTTGGGATCCTCGGTGGTCATCGGAGGATTGACATCATAGGAGCAGTGGACACAAGAGTAGCTGCGCTCTCTAAGGTTGCCAGTCTTTTTCGTTCTATTCAAGGAGTGAAGACCCAGTCGGGCCAACATGGGGCAGAGCCATGACAGTACGTCCTATGCAGGGATGGGCGCGTCACCATCGCCGTGGGTCATGGCGCGGACTATGGCAACCCTTACAAAGATCCAGGGCCTGATTGGCGCGCGCTTTGCGAAGATGTGGGAACGACGACATGAAGCGTCTTTTCGACAAAGACTACAAGTATTTTGACCTTATAGCTTCTATGGTCTTGACAGTGTACAATCATGCTTCCAAGTCTGCGGCTCTATTCCAGGATGCTCCCATGCAGGTACCCAGACCTTCGTGTCACAATAGTACATGATGCAGAAGCTCCTCCTCAAGGCTTCATTTCAGATCGCCACGAGAAGGCCCAGCAGTATTACTCGGTGGCCGGCACAGGCCAACAAGCGCCCCAAGAAGACTTCTTCTTCAGCAGACAAGCCCGATGAGCAATGGTTTGAGGACTGGTCTTGGCACTCTTGGAGCTGGAATCAAGGCTACGACGATGCCGCCGACGAGGAGGAGCATTATGAGGAAGAGTCGCGGAAAGGGCGGGATCAACGCTCGTCCAGCCGCCGTTGATATTTACGCAAAGGCACAGCCGGCACAGCCCATTATACTTTGGGCACAGCCGGAATCGGATCTTTTCTTTCACAGGGCACACCAGTGTGCAGGGCTCACCACTCGTTAAAAGTACTTTGCAAATAAGTCTTTTTCAACTGCTCCGCTCTGCCACTGCACGACCGCTGCCACAGCTGCCGCCCCTGTGCGCGTCATCTGTTAGAGTTTTTTTGCAGGACGTGAAGCCATTCGAGCACCAGGCTTGCAGCCTGACGTAAAATAACAGCAGCCCCAGATGACAGTTCCAACGCAAACATGCTTGCTTAATCTCGAACAGCACAACCGTCTCGAGATTTGTAGGCAGGCAGCGTGCAACCGAACGAGCATATGCACAACATCACAGGTACATTACTTGCTACCTGACGGCCCATCGCCATTGTCTGAGGATGACCAAGTGTGGGACACCACTAGACTGGCACTTTGGGACCCGGTTCAGCTGATGCTTGCAGTCGCTGAGTACGACCCGTCAGGCCTTGGTTCCTGAGCATCGGACGCGTTAGCTCACACTCAGGGTGTCGGAGGTTGTCCTTACCTGTGAGCGAGTCAGCCTAGCAGCCCTTCACAAGGAGTCATGCCTTTGTGTTACATTCTTATGAGTACTGAGTCAGCTTACCCATTACCCATGTTTCACATGAGTGCCAGGTCAGGCAGACGGGCGAAACGCGCAGAGCACGTTCGCGCATCGTCCAATTGAAATATTTTGTTGTTGTTGTTGTTGCGGCTGGTGTTCCTGTTGCTGTTGCTGTTGCTGTTGCTGTTGCTGTTGCTGCTGTTGCTGTCGCTGTTGCTGTCGCTGTTGCTGTCGCTGTTGCTGTTGCTGTTGCTGTTGCTGTCGTTGTCGTTGTCGTTGTTGCTGCTGCTGCTGCTTCTGCTGCTGCTGCTGTTGCTGATGCTGTTGCTGTTGCTGTTGCTGTTGCTGTTGCTGATGCTGTTGCTGTTGCTGTTGCTGTTGCTGTTTTTGTTGCTGTTGCTGTTGCTGTTACCACCACTGTTGTTGTTGTTGTTGTCGTAGTAGTCGTAGTAAGTAGTCGCCTTTGTAGTAGTGGTAGTAGTCGAGGAGTAGCAGCAGTTGTTGTGTACTCGTGGTAGAAGTAGGGTAGTCATTAGTTGCAGTAGTTGCTGCTGTTTGCGTTGTTGTTGTAATGAGTCGGCGGAGGCGGAGGAGCCACTCTAAGTCTGCGTGACCCTAAAGAAACTGTTTGCGCTGCTTTCGAAACATGTTTTAAAAAATGCCATGGCATTCAGCACCTCGCTCTTCAGACCGTCTGCTGCGACCTGAAGTTTCCTGAAAGGGGTCTAATAAATTTTCTCCGCTGGCAGGTGCTTACGGTGCGAGGCTGGCGACACCCAGCTACCAGCCTCCGTACCAGGCCATGTCCTATCGAGAGAGACAGGGCGAGAGAGAGAGAGAGAGAGAGTGAGAGACAGAAAGAGAAAAGAAGAGAAGAGAAGAGAGGGAGACTTCGGAGACCACGGCGCGCGTGTGGCGGGCGGGGGCGGGGGAGGGGGTAGGCTACTGCCCCTTCTTGGCTGTGAGGAGACCAACCAATGGAAATGGTTCAGCAAGTTCATTCTTCATGTGTGTCTCGCGAGTGCGTATCCCATGATATCAGCTAGCGCAGGCCTTCATGCTTCTTACAAAGCGTAGATGTTCAAGGTTTTCGTGGCACGTCTGTAGCAACGTAGCTGTAGCTTCTGAGGCCTTCCAAACCCCAGCGTCAGGTCCTAAGTTGATGGAGCTTCTGAGGGTCAATGCTGCTGGGGACTCATGGCTGCAATAATTATCAGAAAGTAGCAACCGCAGTTTGATCGTCACAGCAGTACTTGTTGCTAGCAGCAATGCGAGTGAGAGCAACGACAGCTCTTGTTTGGTTTTTCATTATCATGCCACGTAGTGGCAAGAACCAGGTTGAAAACGCACGAAGAAGAAAGGGTGGTAGTAAACAACTGTGGATGGCGTTCTCGCTACGTCGGGAGCCTGGATGGGAAATCGTACAGCTACACTCGTCAGAGGAGATCAAACTTGCTGAGATCAGTCCATGCGGCTTTCAGGATGGGTTCCGTCTAGGGACGCGAAGATTTCCCAATGCCTTCCGGCCAAGGACATGGTATCTCTTAGCAATTTATGTGACCGCCTGCAGTCTGTATGATCGCCCAAAGTGCGAAGGGGCAGACAGCAAGCTTGTATTGCAACCTTTGCCGATCAACGGAGAGCAGGGCACGAGATGTGTAGGGCTTAGGACAGCGGCCATGCATTCTTGACTTTAGACTCTAGACCATTGCATGTCAGGTTCAGCATTCTATATAAGTTCCTCGGTACCTGCGTATGCACCCTTGCATGGAACCATCTCACTTGCCAAGTAGTTATGCGGCACGTAGATTATACTGAGACTGCATCTACACCGCCATGCAGCCCTTCTGCCGATTGTTTCCTTGGGTTTCGTAATAGTACCCTGTTTTCGTTCGTCAAACAAAAGTATGCTTAGAAGCCTACAAGTGGTTCTCTGACAGTGAGATTGTTGCACCACCTAGGGGCTGGGTAGGTAGCCTTTAACCACTTTGGGGTATATGCGCTTACCACCATTCAAACGTAGACCGTACTCGCGCCCTAAGAACAGTAACAGTAACACCAGCTCAGGGTTCACAGGATTCCAAGTTTAGGTTTTCTGGGGTGTAGGGTTTGGGGGTTTGCAGTACGATTTAGGGTTTAGAGGCTTGCAGTAGGCTTGCAGGGCTAGGGGAATCTAGAGCAAGGAAAGTGAGCCTACGATTCGGTTTATACCATAACAACAAGCCCCAAATTCTGGTTCTTTCTTATAAGGCCCCTACCAGTTGGTTCCTCCCCCGATCTGCTCTCTGCGCATGCTACCACCGCGTTCAGAGGTTCGGATTCTCGGCGACGACTGTGTAACATAGAAGCGTAAGTAATTCGGAATACCATTCCTAAAAAAATCCTCTTGTAAGTGCAGCATGATATAGTAAACTTCACCCCACAGCCGTATTGCACTGACTAGGATTTTGAATCCTTCCACATTTGCCCTGCCCGGTGGTCGTCCTACCCAAGCTTTTGGATATGGGAGTGTATGTGACATAAAAAGACCAGCACGAAAGCAACGTCCAAAATCAGATCCACAGCTCTGACGAGCAGAGAGGCTGAACCCGGCGAAGACTAACAGCAGTGGGATAGAAGCATCTGGTCAATTGGAGGATTGTGCCTGCTACAATGCGTCCTGTGCTCCAAGACGTGAAAGAAATCCTCGGCATAAGTGCGCAGAGGTCAGAGTCCGAGCGAGGAACTGAACTTAAAGCCTAACCTTAACAGTCAGAGGCCCTCCAACTTGCCAGAATGGAATACCCACTGTGTTGCCACGCAATGAGCGGAGTCTGCACGGAGCAAAAATGCG